AGCCTGGAGATTCACATCAGTCGGATGAGCACATTCTCTCCCTGGAGGGCTTGCTCCTCAGGAAGCCGAGTGAACCCACAGTGCCTGGGTAAACACAAGTGGGAATGCAAGGCTCTGGCTGCGCAATGTGACGATGTCATGGCTCCAGGCTTCCCAGGGTGGAGGGTGGAGGGCGGGCAGGCCCTGCAATGTGTGGCCTCTACCCTCCTTCTCCAGGACTCCCTGGTCCACCACCCTCCCCCATGCACGGCCCCATTCTCCCCGCTAAGGGTCGATTCCCTTGCAGGCCTAGAGCTCTGGACGACTGCGAACTCCTTAGGGAGCTGATTTTATGACTTGACTTTCAGGACGATCTTAACTCCTTCCATTGCACACTCTTGGGGGTCTCTTTCGGTCCCCCTCCCCCCCATGGTGGTAGAACCATGGTTTTGACTGCCCTCGAGAGTGGGGAGGAGGGTGGCTTCGGGTGGCTGGCGGAGTGGCGACACCGTTCTGCACAGTGTGGCGACTGGAGTCAGCGTTTAGGAAGAGCCGAGCCCCGCTCTGCAGAGCCCTTAGCTCCTTCCATCCTCCCAACCCTCCTATGAGCAAAGTGCTAGGATATTTCCCAGTCGGCCGAATGGCAGATATGATACATTTGTTCGTTTCGTTTAATTACTTAGTCTTAATTGAGAAGTTTCCATTCTGTCTTAAGAGCATTTTAGAAGAACATTCCTCGTCCTCACTCTCGCTTCCTGCTGCTGCCACTGGAGCCTGAGAATGAAGAGGGGACATTGGGGGGGGGATAAAAGAAGTGAAATATATTCTTTAATAAGGAGAATTCTTATGAGCGTATTCTTCATTCGTGTGTTCTTCCTCGTAAGGATAACATAGCCCTATTACGGAATGTATTCTCACGCACGTGTGCTCCTCTGTGCCCCCTGCAGCTGGCCCCCCGCCAGCCCCCTGGCTTCTGGGCTCTTCCCTCAACCCCCCTCGCTCAGCGCTTCAGTCTCCAGCCGCATCCGCAGAAAGCTGGGGCAGACGCAGGTTGCCCACGCCCTCAAATCCTGTTGTGGAGACAACATGAAAGCTGGCCAAGGAAAGCCAGAATACTTAAAATCAAATGACTTGGCGAGTCGCTCACTTGGCAGGTGGGCTCTCAGCGTACGGGGCCCAGCTAGTCCCTGGGCGTGGCTTTTGGCTAGCTGTCGTTGGGGACAGTGACCTGGGCTTACTTTCCGGATGAGGAAGCAGAGGCTGGAGAAGCTGAGGAAGTTGTCTCGGGTCGTAATAACCAGTGTTAGACCCACGATTTTAAAAAGGTCTGGCTGAGATTGAGCTGGTGTCTTTGTGTCATTCGTTCAGCAGGATGAGTGCACAGGACAAAACTCAGAATGGCTCCTGCTCTTGGTGCAGCTAAAGAGCTGCTTGGGGGATAGCTGATTTCCAAGCACCCAAACTCAAATACTACAGGGGCCAGGAAGGAGAGAAAATCATTGAGGAGTGAGGGAACTAGAACAATCTAATTTACTCTAAGAGAAACCGCAATGCAAAATGTGATGCTACATGGCTCCTGTCACTTGGCCCCAGTGGCTGGACATATAATAGGGACAGATGGGGACAGTGGTGAAGGAGGAGCTGCCACCATCAGTGTCATTGATCCTGTGACTTTCCAAAAAGAGCTGGAAGGCGGGTGGAGTGGCTCACACCTGTAATCCCAGCATTTTGGGAGGTCGAAGTGGGAGGATTGCTTGAGCCAGGAGTTAGAGACCAGACTGAGCAACAAAGCAAGATCCTGTCTCTACAAAAAATTTTAAAAACTAGCCAGGTGTGGTGGCACATGCCTGTTGTCCCAGCTACTCAGGAGGCTGAGGTGGGAGGATCACTTGAGCCCAGGAGTTCAAGGCAGCAGTGAGCTATGATGATGCCCCTGCACCCCAGCCTGGGTGACAGATCAAGACTCTATCTAAAAAAAAAAAAAAGCTGGAAATCCTGATTTTGATATGGTAAGTGTAACTTCAAATCAATTTAAAACACACGTGGGCCATTCTAAGCAAATCTACACACACTGGATCTGGTTTATAAATTTGTGGCCTTGATGGTTGGCATGGAATCATTACCAAACCTCAAGGTTGAGTCAAAAGTATAGGTTTTGTGAGGTGCTGGGAGGGACTGAAAATTCTGAGTGCAATAAAGAGTAGGTGAAGCGGTCAAGAGATGACCCAATACTTAAAAGAATGACATCTAACCACTAAAAGGAAATCAATTTCAAATATATCACTTAGCACTGGGAATGAATAGTTTAAATGACAGGCTTTGGAACCTGAAAACCTGGTGTTGAATCCCAGCTCTGAGGCTTACCTGTTGTGCAACCCTAAGCAAATCAATCTGTCAATGCCTTTGTTTGGTCACATCTGAATTCTTGTGAGGTTTCAATGCAATAAGATATGATGAGCAAGATAAGTAACAGATGGATGGTTCTCAAGAAATGGTACTTACCGAAGTAGCTATAATGAGAATTATTAGGATGATAATGATAACTATTATTATCAGTACATATGTTCATAAACCTCAAGGAAAGCTCTAGTGGGAACTCAGCTTCTGAAAGTTCTTTTCCTAGGTACTTTTTTGTGAGGATGATGAGGCACATTGGTGTTACTTTTTCATTTGATTATCCTTACATTTGGAAGTAACGAATTTTCTTGTAGCATTTTTTTGGTAGTTGTTTTTTGGTAGTTGTATCTGCAAAGCATTTAGGGAGCTCACGTGATCTGTTCAAATCCAAATCCAGGGAGAATTTCTGACACTCGACTTGTATAGCTTAAGGCATCTCAAAAAGCTTCTATCCACTGGCCGTTAAGGGAGGCTGTGCCTTGGGAGGTTTCGCACAGAATCCCGCCCCTTTCTCATGCACAGGCCTTCTTGATTCTATTCTCCATCCCTTCCAGCTTGCCCATCTCTTAGTGTGCTAATCGGCTCAGCCCAATCTGCAATCATTGCAGGGGATGGGAGAAGTGGTCGTCCTCAAGGTTCACTTCCCAGGACCTGCACATACACATGCATACCTTCTCCTGCTCCCACGCTGGGGCTGAAGCTAAACGCCTTCCACTCAGTGCTGGGTCAGGGTATGGATGGGAAACAGGGTCCCTTGTGTTGTGAAAAGAGTGAGAAAATCTCTCGACACAGTCCCAAGTCTCCCCAGGAGAGAAAACCGATCCGCTACAAATGTGGCCAACACCCAAGAACACAGGGCTTGGGACTTCTGGGACAGCTGATGACAAATGTCCAGGAACCTCACCTCATTGCTGCCCCACTCCCCACCTCCAGGGCTCCCTGTTCCAGCTCTCGATGTCTAAGTTTTGCAGCCCAATTCTAGCCCAAGCTCAGACCTGATATGACAGATCTGGTTCTCCTGATGAGCTTTGGGCCCTTGGAATAAATAGATGCTGTGGGTTCCCCAGCCTGACCATTCCTGAGCACAGTACGTGCTCAGGAGACACACTTGTCACCACGGACCCCAGACTGCTCTGGGATGTTGTCCTACTGCTTCAGGATCCTGCAGGCCTCTACCCGTCTCATTTGCATGCCTAATGCAATTTCTGAGTATGATGTGTAGTAATCACAGCTGCAAATTCTGGGAGATTTATTATATTTCCCAGTTCTATAGATCAGGGACAATTTTTTATAAATTCTTACTTTTGCTGAGCAATTTAATATGCCATTGTCTAGGCAACAGCCTTTTCCTTCAATTAGATTTTGAGAGAAATATGGAAGGAACTTTCCCCCTTCCTCTGCAGCAATATTAGATAAGGCCGCCAAGTCCTGACCAAGAGCAAAATTTGCTGGTGCCTCATGGGGAGCGTCAAACAGGATTCTCTTCTGCGGCAGTGTGGCTTCCCGCCTTCCTCTCTAGGGCTGGTGTCTTGTCGGGGCGGTTGGGGCTGCCAGTGGGAAGAGCCACAGCCACAGTGGGGGCCATACAGGGAGAGCCACACATTGCAGGGCCTGCCCGCCCTCCACCCTCCACCCTGGGAAGCCCGGAGCCATGACATCGTCACATTGCGCAGCCAGAGCCTTGCATTCCCACTTGTGCTTACCCAGGCACTGTGGGTTCACTCGGCCTCTTGAGGAGCAAGCCCTCCAGGGAGAGAATGTGCTCATCCGACTGATGTGAATCTCCTCCCCCCCCAATGTCCGCACCAGGGGACACTGGCCTTGGAGAAGGAGTCCCTCCTTGGGGTCTGGACCTCAGCCACGTAAGCTTAGAAATTCAGTCTTTAAAGTTCCAGCAGTCAGTTATCGGATGCTTGAGTGAACAAACATAATCAGAGAGGGGCCTGAGAACAAACCGGAAACAAGATGGAATAATTTCAAGCAGCCTGGAGATTCACATCAGTCGGATGAGCACATTCTCTCCCTGGAGGGCTTGCTCCTCAGGAAGCCGAGTGAACCCACAGTGCCTGGGTAAACACAAGTGGGAATGCAAGGCTCTGGCTGCGCAATGTGACGATGTCATGGCTCCAGGCTTCCCAGGGTGGAGGGTGGAGGGCGGGCAGGCCCTGCAATGTGTGGCCTCTACCCTCCTTCTCCAGGACTCCCTGGTCCACCACCCTCCCCCATGCACGGCCCCATTCTCCCCGCTAAGGGTCGATTCCCTTGCAGGCCTAGAGCTCTGGACGACTGCGAACTCCTTAGGGAGCTGATTTTATGACTTGACTTTCAGGACGATCTTAACTCCTTCCATTGCACACTCTTGGGGGTCTCTTTCGGTCCCCCCCCCCCATGGTGGTAGAACCTTGGTTTTGACTGCCCTCGAGGGTGGGGAGGAGGGTGGCTTCGGGTGGCTGGCGGAGTGGCGACACCGTTCTGCACAGTGCGGCGACTGGAGTCAGCGTTTAGGAAGAGCCGAGCCCCGCTCTGCAGAGCCCTTAGCTCCTTCCATCCTCCCAACCCTCCTATGAGCAAAGTGCTAGGATATTTCCCAGTCGGCCGAATGGCAGATATGATACATTTGTTCGTTTCGTTTAATTACTTAGTCTTAATTGAGCAGTTTCCATTCTGTCTTAAGAGCATTTTAGAAGAACATTCCCCGTCCTGGCTCTCGCTTCCTGCTGCTGCCACTGGAGCCTGAGAATGAAGAGGGGACATTGGGGGGGGGGGATAAAAGAAGTGAAATATATTCTTTAATAAGGAGAATTCTTATGAGCATATTCTTCATTCCTGTGTTCTTCCTCATAAGGATAACATAGCCCTATTACGGAATGTATTCTCACGCACGTGGGCTCCTCTGTGCCCCCCGCAGCTGGCCCCCCGCCAGCTCCCTGGCTTCTGGGCTCTTCCCTCAACCCCCCTCGCTCAGCGCTTCAGTCTCCAGCCGCATCCGCAGAAAGCTGGGGCAGACGCAGGTTGCCCACGCCCTCAAATCCTGTTGTGGAGACAAGATGAAAGCTGGCCAAGGAAAGCCAGAATACTTAAAATAATCAAATGACTTGGTGAGTCGCTCACTTGGCAGGTGGGCTCTCAGCGTACGGGGCCCAGCTAGTCCCTGGGCGTGGCTTTTGGCTAGCTGTCGTTGGGGACAGTGACCTGGGCTTATTTTCCGGATGAGGATGCAGAGGCTGGAGAAGCTGAGGAAGTTGTCTCGGGTCATAATAACCAGTGTTAGACCCACGATTTTAAAAAGGTCTGGCTGAGATTGAGCTGGTGTCTTTTGTCATTCGTTCAGCAGGATGAGTGCACAGGACAAAACTCAGAATGGCTCCTGCTCTTGGTGCAGCTAAAGAGCTGCTTGGGGGATAGCTGATTTCCAAGCACCCAAACTCAAATACTACAGGGGCCAGGAAGGAGAGAAAATCATTGAGGAGTGAGGGAACTAGAACAATCTAATTTACTCTAAGAGAAACCGCAATGCAAAATGTGATGCCACATGGCTCCTGTCACTTGGCCCCAGTGGCCGGACATATAATAGGGACAGATGGGGACAGTGGTGAAGGAGGAGCTGCCACCATCAGTGTCATTGATCCTGTGACTTTCCAAAAAGAGCTGGAAGGCGGGTGGAGTGGCTCACACCTGTAACCCCAGCATTTTGGGAGGTCGAGGTGGGAGGATTGCTTAAGGCCAGGAGTTAGAGACCAGACTGAGCAACAAAGCAAGATCCTGTCTCTACAAAAAATTTTAAAAACTAGCCAGGTGTGGTGGCACATGCCTGTTGTCCCAGCTACTCAGGAGGCTGAGGTGGGAGGATCACTTGAGCCCAGGAGTTCAAGGCAGCAGTGAGCTATGATGATGCCCCTGCACTCCAGACTGGGTGACAGATCAAGACTCTCTCTCTCTCTCTCTCTCTATATATATATATATATATAAAAAAGAAGCTGGAAATCCTGATTTTGATATGGTAAGTGTAACTTCAAATCAATTTAAAACACACGTGGGCCATTCTAAGCAAATTTACACACTGGATCTGGTTTATAAATTTGTGGCCTTGATGGTTGGCATGGAATCATTACCAAACCCCAAGGTTGAGTCAAAAGTATAGGTTTTGTGAGGTGCTGGGAGGGACTGAAAATTCTGAGTGCAATAAAGAGTAGGTGAAGCGGTCAAGAGATGACCCAATACTTAAAAGAATGACATCTAACCACTAAAAGGAAATCAATTTCAAATATATCACTTAGCACTGGGAATGAATAGTTTAAAGGACAGGCTTTGGAACCTGAAAAACCTGGTGTTGAATCCCAGCTCTGCGGCTTACCTGTTGTGCAACCCTAAGCAAATCAATTAATCTCTCAATGCCTTCGTTTGGTCACATCTGAATTCTTGTGAGGTTTCAATGCAATAAGATATGATGAGCAAGATAAGTAACAGATGGATGGTTCTCAAGAAACGGTACTTACCGAAGTAGCTATAATGAGAATTATTAGGATGATAATGATAACTATTATTATCAGTACATATGTTCATAAACCTCCAGGAAAGCTCTAGTGGGAGCTCAGCTTCTGAAAGTTCTTTTCCTATGTACTTTTTTGTGAGAATGATGAGGCACATTGGTGTTACTTTTTCATTTGATTATCCTTACATTTGGAAGTAACGAATTTTCTTGTAGCATTTTTTGGTAGTTGTTTTTCGGTAGTTGTATCTGCAAAGCATTTAGGGAGCTCACGTGATCTGTTCAAATCCAAACCCATGGGGAATTTCTGACACTCAACTTGTATAGCTTAAGGCATCTCAAAAAGCTTCTATCCACTGGCCGTTAAGGGAGGCTGTGCCTTGGGAGGTTTCGCACAGAATCCCGCCCCTTTCTCATGCACAGGCCTTCTTGATTCTATTCTCCATCCCTTCCAGTGTGCCCATCTCTTATTGTGCTAATCGGCTCAGCCCAATCTGCAATCATTGCAGGGGATGGGAGAAGTGGTCGTCCTCAAGGTTCACCTCCCAGGACCTGCACATACACACGCATACCTTCTCCTGCTCCCACGCTGGGGCTGAAGCTAAACTCCTTCCACTCAGTGCTGGGTCAGGGTATGGATGGGAAACAGGGCCCCTTGTGTTGTGAAAAGAGTGAGAAAATCTCTCCACACAGTCCCAAGTCTCCCCAGGAGAGAAAACTGATCCGCTACAAATGTGGCCAGCACCCAAGAACACAGGGCTTGGGACTTCTGGGACAGCTGATGACAAATGTCCGGAACCTCACCTCATTTCTGCCCCACTCCCCACCTCCAGGGCTCCCTGTTCCAGCTCTCGATGTCTAAGTTTTGCAGCCCAATTCTAGCCCAAGCTCAGACCTGATATGACAGATCTGGTTCTCCTGATGAGCTTTGGGCCCTTGGAATAAATAGACGCTGTGGGTTCCCCAGCCTGACCATTCCTGAGCACATGGACCCCATGATGTCAGCCTCCAGCAGCTGTGACTTGTTGCCTACAGAAGGCTTTCTCTGGCTACCTAAGCCCACTGAGCTGGTGCTAGCTGTGCTGGGAGGTCAAGCCCCGCCCCCAGCAGCCCTCACCAGTGGGGGATGGGACTCGGGATAGATAAACACCCCACTTCCTCGCCCTTTGTTGGGGTCCACCTCTGAGGTGTGCTCCACCCGTCTCCTAGATGTGCCCAGTGGGACTGAACTGCACCTGCTCTCAGGGGTAACCTATGCAGTAAAGCACCTGCATCCCTGCCCTCCTTCCTGTGACTCACTTTCCCACCCTCGTGCTGGTGTTTCCTAGAATCACCTCCCAGATCAACTCCTAACGCTCCACTCCTGGCCTCAGTGTCGGCAGCTGGCAGCCCTCTCCCTTATCTTACGTAGTAAGATGATATTCACTCACCACCTTCACGTGTCAGACACAGCGTTCACCTCACATCAGCTCTCTGAGATGGGTGCTGTCATCGCTCCCACATGACAAATGGAGGGCACCAGGCCAGCAAGTGGCAGAGCCAGGATTTGAACTCAGATCCTTCTGGCTCCCAAAGTCTTGCCTGCCCCATCACAGGACACTCACCTAGTTCCTTCCACCCTGGTCTCTCCCCTGCCTGACTACCAGGTCAGAAGTGGACATGGGTGACCAGTTACCGTGACACCAATTATCACCATAAGTAAAGAGCAGGAAATTGTAATTCAGGGACTGATTGTACTGAGACAGCTGGCTCCAGCCCACAGAGGGAGGCAGCACTATTATTTTAAGAATCCTCCTGGGCACAGACTAGCAGTCTTTGTGGCTGTGGAGGTTGGCACGGGAATGGTGATGCCCTCCCCATTAGCAGGCTGTGTGGGAAGACTTAATGGAAAAACCCAGCTTGGAGGCTCTCTAGTCTGCTTTGCTGTGAAACCTTCTACCCTTTGTGAGGCATGGAGAACTGACAATCTGGAGGTCTGGCTTCTAATTCCCACCTTTCCCTTTATTGTGTGCATGAATTTTGGCTCCTTGCTTCCCTACGCTGGTCCTTGGGCTTGTGGGTTACACATACTGAATCTATGAGCACAAGCCGACATGGTCCCATCAACTGTAGCCTGAAACGCCGAGTGAATTCTAAGAGTCGGGTGCTTCTTTTGGATGTTTTTCACTAATGTTTGGTCTGTGGCTGACCCCAGACCAAACTTCATTCTTGGACAGGGTAAATAAAATAATGGTCATGTCCCATCTCAGATCTAAAGAAATACATGATTGGCCAAAAATATATTTGTATTATGTTCTGATCCTAGCCCAAGGTTCTAGAAGAGGTAGACATTTGTTCATTTGTGGATTCAAATAACCAACAACCCTTTAGAGCATACCTGAGCTTGGCACCAGGGTGTGACGGTTGGGCATGGCCAAGTGACCCAGCCCTGGGTATAGGACAGCCACGGAAACTTAAGAGTTCTAGAACCAGCTAAAAATGGAAGATTGGGTGTTCTGACCAACAATGTACCTGTTTATGGACACAGCCCCAGTAAGCTGACTTTAACTCTCTTAGTCCTGTCCCTTTTCCTCCAAACCCAAGCCCCTTTATAAAGCCCCATCTGCTTGTCCCACTGCTCAGACCCCCCTTACGTGTTGCTAGTCTGTGCTCAAAGTTCGTGCAAGACTAATGTTTTTAAAATGAGGTCCAAGAAAGGATTACTAATCAAGAGTATTGTTTTTTAAACAGAACTGCCTTTTTCTACTCTCTATATAAACTTTATTGTGTTGGTCTAACAAGGCACTATTTTAAAACTTTTTTTTTCAATTTCTCCCATAGCAGGTAAAGATATTTTGTAAAGACTTTGCTGTAAAGATTTTGCGATAAAATGGTCTAAGGGCCCCTTTTCCAACATTACCCTTTTAAAAAAATGTTTTAAAAGCTGGAAAACAACTTATGTATATTCTATATATGTATAGTAACACATTTCATTTATGGAAATATGTTCTCAAAGTATTTATTTACTAATATGTTTATCTTAAGACGTGTCTTATGTCGAGAGTGTGACATTGTTGGAATAACCATTGACAGTGACTAACACAAGACCCTGTAAATGCATCATAATTGCACTCAGATTTTACATATTTGCAGACCAAAAAATGATTTAAAACAAGTTGTAGTCTTCTATGGTTTTGTAACAAGTTGCACAAATGACTGTAAAAAAAAAAAAATACAAATGTAGACAATACGGGGTGTTTGACTCCAAGTGTCAGGAAATGCCACTGAAAAGTAGTGAACAGGGATGCATGTGTCAGAAAAAGACTTGGGCTCTCTCTGCCTCTCCTGAGTGATGGCCTCAATGAGTTCCCGTCTAGTAAGGAATAACCCACCGCAGCTCTGCAGAGGAGGATAAGCACCGTCCAGACTGCTCCCAGCATGGCAGCCGGGGTGAGGGGAGGCCCAGGGAGAACCAGGAAAGGCTTCATAGAGGAGGATGCTCCAGGCAAAGCGACATGTGCAAAGTCTTCCAGGGAGGGACAGGGGAACCTGTTCAGGACACAAGTTATTTCAGTTAGATGCAGCAGAGGCTACCTGAAGAGAAAGGAAGAAGGAGGAAAAGGCTGGAAATGACCATTAGGATCGCATGAGGAAGCTTCTGAGTTCAGACCAAGGAGCAGGCAATTCTGCAGAGGTTTGGGTGGAAGAGCTCCACCAGTGTTCTGAGTTACAAGCACCAAAAACCAGTTCCAACTAACTTCAGCAAAGAGAGGAGTTTGTTAGAAGGATATGATAAAGCCCACAGAAATGAAGGAAAAGTTGACCATTGAGCCTCAGAAAATATAGGTATCAGGACATCTAGAAAGAGACAGTGGTGGGGAAATAATGAACAGTATATTAGTCAGATATGGCTGACATGAAGCTGCTCAAACAAACAGTCCCCAGATCTTAGTGGTTGACCACCACCACCATTTCATTTTTCTTGTTCCTAGGCCTAAGCATTGGCTGGGATGGCTCTACTTCAGGCCACAGCTAAGTTCAGGTCTATAACACATGTCTCCTCATTCTCCCTGGGCTGCCAGTGGCTACCTGGGGCTTGGGTTTGCATAACAGAGGCAGAAGAGCAAGCCACAGCACAGGATGATATTTAACGCCTTTGCTCGGCCGTGCTCAGTAATATTCCATTGGTCGGAGCAAGTGCCATGGAGAAAGAGAAGGAAAAATAAGGAGCTGGGAGTCCATGAAAGCTCTCTCTGTGTGTGTGTGTGTGTGTGTGTGTGTGTGTGTGTGTGTGTGTGTGTGTGTTGGTTGATGGGGGAGGGTGTTTCAAGGAAAGATGCCGTAGCGACTAAATAGGGGTAGTTTTGCCAGTGGGATTACAATACCAAGGCCAGCCAGCCAGAGCCCTTCCTCTGCTCAGAATTTCAGGCCCAGCTTTTCCCTACTTCTGATTGCGGGATGCACCCTGGAGACATTAATCTTACCCTCCAGCCTGACAGCGTGGGAGCCCTAGAGTGGCTTTACACATTCCTGCTCAGCCCAGGTAAGAAAGCAGAACTCCCAGGAAACAGCCTGCATGCCCGGATGCTTGGGCGAAGCCTCCAGCCTTGTGGCCCCCTGGTACTGACCAAGGACCCAAGAGATCAGATCGCTCAGGGTTTGAAGGGTAGGAGAGTTAAGACCCCCTTTTTGGATCCAAGATGAAAGCATGCAGCTTTTCATCGGCCCTCAGGATGGGGAGCAAAGCTTCCAAAGTTTGTCCCTGAAGCCATCCCTCTTCCCCAACTCTCTCTGAGAGCCTGGGGCTCCCCTGGGAGGACAGCCTTGTCAACCAAATCTCGTTAGGTGCTGTGCCTTTGGCTGCTCTCTAGTTCAAAGACAAAACTTTTTATTCCAGCTGGTGATTTTCCTCTCTTGGCCAGGGCCGAGGCTTCTGCTTCTATAAGCAGAGCCCCGGTTGCTAGGTGACATCCTTGCTCCTGGTTCCAGAGGCAGCTAAGGTAGAAATGAACGAAAGAGAGCTGAAGCTTCCATTTTAAAGACAAAATATGAAACCTAAAAGAGGAACTCAGACCCTGAATTAATTGGAGAGTTATATAACAACCAGACATGGTTCTAATGACCTCCCCATCACCCTGCCAAGACCATTGGGATAAATTTAAATGTATTTTTCGAAATAGGAAGAAAGTAGGAAGTTGAACTGATAAATATAGTTGACTCTTTTGATTGGGGAAGGGAACTTCTAATTACATAGCTTTTCTAAGCTCCATCAATCAGATGCATACCTTCATTAGCCTCCGAGTTGTTAGTGGGACTTATTAAAACAATTAGCTCTGCAGAGAACTGCAGCCATCAGCATTTCTGACAGCTGCGCCGGGGATTTAAACTTTTCATTAAAATTGGATGGAGGCTTTGCAGATCAATAAGGAGGAGATGAACATTCCAAGTGAAAAACGAGCAAAGAATGTGAATAGGCAATTCACAAAAGAACCACAAATGGCCAATAAACAAATGAAAAATTTCCAAACTCATTAGCAACCGAGGAAATACATTAGAACAATAATGAAGATGCATTTAAAATCTATTAAACAGCAAATATTTTTAAAATGATAATATACAGGGTGGGCGAATGTACGGTGAATCTGTTTGTATGTACTTGGTTGGAATGCAGCAGAGAAGATCTTTCCAGAATGCAGTTCGGCCACGTATTGAAAGTCTTAAACATATACACACCTTTTGGCTGAGCAATGTAGTGCCCTTAATTTACAAAGATGTTCATATAGCATTATTGATTAAGAGAAATTTGAAAAAAAAAAAAACTATGTAACAATGGGATATTAGCTAAATAAAAACAAATCATTTAATTACATGCAAAAGTATTCTCAGATTGGGAAAGGAATAAAGCAGGTTACAAAATTGTGTTCACATGGTGAGTTCAGTTTTGTAAAATGAAAAGGAAGATAGCATATACCTGCATAGAATACCATAAGCCAGAGCTTCCTAAGCATTCAGTTCACGGGACCTTTAGTATCTTACTAATTCTTCTACGAAGGCCCTAGACATCCTCCTCTCCCCCACCAAATAAAAACTTGACAGTTTTGTTGATTAAGTAGTTGGAGCCAAACAACCTAACAGTGGTAGTTCATACTGTGTCAGAACAAGAGAACCTACCTCTTAGGGGTCTTGCGAGCCCTGTGCCTGACTGACTCTTAGCAAGAGCTCTGTAAATATCAGCCACTGTTAACTCTAGCAGGAGACTGTATGTCACTTTTTCAAAAAATGCTTTTTTTGCATTTTCCAAATGTTGCACAATAGACATGTTACTTTTGTAATAAATAATTTTTTTTATGTTTAAATCAGAGAAAGGTAGCACCGAGCGCTGTGGGTGGCAGGATGAGGCCAGTGCAAGGTTGCACGCCCCAGAAGGCACTCAGAGGCACTCCTCTCGCTGTGACCAGCAGCACCCTGGCAATCAGACATCAAGAAAGCCCCTCCTATCCGGGAGAGCGGGCTCCTTTGGGCACTTTATTCTTTAGACATACTGGACTGTTCAGCTGCCTCCTCTGCAGACACAGGCGTCCCAGGCTTTGCCCTTGCTCACACTGCCGCCTCTGCCGGGGACCCTGGCCCCTCCTGTGCCTGACTGGTTCTCATGCCCCCTTCCAGACTCGTCCCTGCTGTTCAGTCTTTACTGAGCTAGGAGGCCATCCTTTGATGACCTCTACTTTACCGTGTTGAAATTTCCCATGTCTGTGTCCACTTACTTAGGGCAGGGGCTGTATGAATCCCATCTGCCTGGCATTCAGTGGGCACTTAATAAATACTTGACTAGAACATTTGCTTGTTGGCGAGGGGCCCACGTGTCATATTGGGGATTTATATTTGTTGTTATAGTCCTCGGGGACAAGGTTGTCCTTGGCATACTCAACTTTTTTTTTTTTTTTTGCAATCACACAAGAGGAGGTTTATTTTCTGGCTAGCCAGGGTCCAACCCCCAGAGCACTAACACAGTGGCCACTCTCGCAGGTAAGGACCCCAACAGCATACTCAACTTTTGTCAGAAGGTTAGGAGTCCTGGTAGAGGGTCAGTGAGCAGATGGCTGTCCCCTGTGTGTGTGTGTGTGTGTGGCGGGGGAGGGTACCTTAGAGGTCACTGAGGCACCTGGAGCCTCAGCCCTGGGTTTAGAGAAACAGTTACTCTTTCTGAGAGTGAACGGCTAGGAGGAGTCCATCCCCATGGCCTGAGTCTAAGGCCACCAGGCCATCATATCCACATGCAAGCTATCCACAACCTGTTGCTGCCTGCTCACTGGTTCAGCCAGCAAGCAGTGATTAAGCACCTACTGTAAACACAGCCCTGCACCAGGAACTAGAAACAAGAAGATCAGAGATGGGTCTGAGTCTCGTTAGGGAAATAGACACACATGAGTAACTCAAAAATTAGGGCATGGCTGCTGAGATGGAGGCGTGAACAAAGCCCGCTGGAAACCAAGGCTGGAGACAGGGAAGAGAAAGAAGAAAAGAGGA